TAAATATCCTAGGCTACATAGGCTATCCTACATAGTTTGGATCTTTTTGTAGAGAATCGAGGTTAGCTAAGAAAAAACTATTTTTTTACTACTTGAACTTTGATGGACTTGGGCAAGCCTAGGATATTGAAAAAAAAATTTCATTTTTTTTAAAGCATAATGAACCAAATTTTTGTTATTAACAATCAAAATTCTAAAGGAGCGGATTTTCGGACAACGCTATTGGACATCAATATATAAACTAGTTTATTTTCGTACTGGGTATATATGAATGAATGATGTTGTGGAGTGAATTACTTATACTTTTATAGTATGAGCAGCAATTGCCACAATTAACACAAATTGAAATTGTAATATAACGCCGCATGTGGCAAAATGAGCAACTCGGCAATTACAACAATAAAAGCATCTACAAAAAAGGATAGAAATGCTGCTAATAGAATAATAAAACTGCATGTGGCGAAAAAAAAAATTCAAATGTTAATCAAATGCATAAATATCTATACTAACCGCCCAATTCTGTGTTTTCTTAATAAATTATTTGTAATGAAATTCTATCAAGATTTTTACCAAGTAAAAAAAAATCTGTGCCAATATTTATAAAATAAAAAGCTCTACGATTTCCACATGCGGGGAACTGATTTCCACATGAGTGGGAGCATTTTCAAACTTGAGATGCTGACACGTTGCTTCATCGGTTGGCTCGTGTGTAGTCAGCATGATAATTTATCAAGAAAAGAGCCTTCGATTTCTGCGCTAGAATTCCAATTTTTGATAAATAATAAAAAAATTACAAATTAAAAATTTTTTTAATTTATCAACTATGTATGTACATAGAATCGGGAATCGCTTACATACGTGTTTTGCCGAGCTTCTCCTCCGATTTGTGGTATGCGCCTTGAAGTTGTAACAAACAAAGCGGATGGACCTACGGTTTTACGCCGACTTCGAAGCTGGTTTGCATGGCAGAGACACACTCGGAGGTTTGCCAATGCCTGCCGAGGGGCGACCGCTATTGGAAAACATCTTTTTATTATTTTTTAATGTTGGGTTGGCCCGAGTTCGAACCCAGGCCCTGCGGAACAGTAGCGCGCACTGCTTACCCCTACACTACAGGCGGCCATTACGCCCTCTAGATATGCAGGTTAAAAAAAACACTACATAGATATATGTATGTATATAAATTTCAAGCCGACTGGAATAAATTAAAAAATTGCGAATTGAGTCTAAATTTCTATAACCAAGGTCATGGTGATTATAACATAAAAAAACAGTCCCATTCGTCCAATAAGTAATGAAACACTACTAAGCACAGTGCTTTCTCGGTAATCCGGACAACCGCAATCCTGAGGCCGTGCGGATTACTGGAGTGTCCGGATTATAGATGAATAGTATGAAAAATTAACTGATGAGTATGAAAATTAACAACGCAATTTTGATGCAATCTAATATTTGACTTTGTTTTTTTTTTTTTTTTTTAATTGTTAGTGTTTTGTGAGCTAAACTGATATGCCTGTTCTATTATAACGTTCATCTGTTATGATAACTTCGTACCAATCCAACGTTTGCGCTGTCTTGGACATGTCGAACTCGCGGATGACGATGCTCCGGTGAAGATTCTTCAAATATTCACTTGTGCGCCAAGTGTAGACGAACCTTTCAGCACTTGATATGAACAACACGTGCATTTTCGCGAAGGTGAGAGACAACTGGCGTTTTGGATCTCGGACTAAATAATTGCAAGATTAGCATTAGCTGGTCCTTATGTATTACATGAATATTAACTATTTCAGCGATACATATCTTTCTTTCTGATGAATAAAGCCTAGGTGCAATGATTTAAAAGTTTAGTTTCATTGGCAAAATCTCTAAAACTCAAGTAAATTCCTGTAATACATCTAAATATCTTTGTACAGCTTAAGTGCCAATCAAATCAAGCAAATCAAAGGTTTGTAGTTCAAAAATACTTAGTGGGACACATTTGATTTGGCCACACACCATTTGGATATCACATCAACTAGTCGTAGTACTTTTACCATTCGTGATATTTATTTTTCAAATGAAATGTGGCGGAAAATTGCAAAAGAACCAACTTCGCAATACCAATATCATCGATAAATTAGTATTCACAAAGTGCATTATGCCAAAGGATATACGTACATATGCATGCGCACATATGCAGGTATGTATGTAAGCATGGATTTGCATGGGTATGCACGCGTTGCTTGTATGGCACGCACCAAATGCATTTGCTCTCTCTTCATCCCACTTTCTATCGTCCTCATGTTTGCACACGTAGCAGCACGTAATCGCTGAAGAATTTGTGCGTCCAATGCGTGAGCTATGTACGCGCGCATAAAATTATATTACAAATAGAATTTCAAGTGGCTCAGCAGTCTGTCAGTCTGTTAGTATGACATTATGGGTCATTGTGACAGTCATGCGGCTATTTATGGATGATTTGGTTTTCGTGTTTACTATGTAGTTATATATGTACGTAGATACACATCAGTGTTGATTTTGTAGCGACATTTGTACCTTTTTTGCGCTTTTTCAGTTAAAAGGAACTTCAGGTACAATTGCTTTAAATAAGGTACGATTTTATAAAGAAAGTAGTTTTTGATTGTATACGTATGTACATTGTACATACATATGTAACTACAAGTAATTTATTTTTACCCGACTTCAAAAAAAGGAGGTTATTAATTCGTCGGAATACTTTTTTTTTAAGTATGTTACCGCATAACTATGAACCACGTTAACCGATTTCCATATTTTTTTAAAAGAAAGGTGGTACCTCAAAGGTGGTCCCGTACTATTCCGAACATTGGATCATGAAGAAATAAACGGTACTCTTAAATTGTAATATTAGAATTGAAGTCGGTTTGGTTTTTTGCTTGAAGATTACTTATTTAAATTAATTTTCAGGCAGAGAGTTAGACTACAGAGCCGAGTATTACACGTATTCTGTGTGTATGCAGCTGAAGTAAAGGGTATTTGAACTAAATTGAATTTTGCAGAACTGTACAGAGCAGGCATGCCCAACGGCGGCAGAACTCCATAAGGAAGTGCCCTGCGCTGGCAGAATTCAATAGGCAAGTGGCCAGCGCAGAGCACGGCTGGTACAGAGCAATACGTTGTAGTTTCCTGCATTTGGTACAAGCAATAATTTGATGTAGGTAGGTACGGTAAGGTTAGATTGTCGGGCTGCCTCCGTAAATGAAGGCTTACATAGACACGACTAAGCTGTCGAAAAGGACGAAGGACGAAGTCCGGAAGATGAGGGGAGGGTAGGGAAAGAGGGTGAAGGTAAGAAGAAACGAAGTTCTTCAAGCGACTTATGTCCATTTCCCAAAGCTTATCGCGAGTATGAAAAAAATGCTACCTAAGGTGCTTAAACCTTAGGCTTGTTTAGGCAGGGCATCAGAGCAGCAGGTGTTGAGAGAATTCCTCCTCATTATCAGCTGGTGCAGTAAGGGCCATCGATAATATTCAGCCTTAGAGCAATGACCAGTTAGTACTCCCCTAATAGCGATAGATGTAACTTGCTTAGTCTCAAGTGCTCCCCAGACTGTCTACGGTCTACACGTAGCGCTCGATGAGCTGACTAACTACCCATCTGTCCAGAAGCAGACCACACGAGGTCAGGGTAACTCTCAGATATTCCCTATCCTGAATTAATTCTTTCACTATTTTGCCTGCTCATCGGCTATGCAGTTTCCAGCAATTTCTCTGAGACCTGCAACCCAAATAAGCTTATCAGCGAAGTAATCCGATGCGATCGATAAGGCAGTCAAATATCCTTTCGCCGTCCCGAATGCACCGTTAAGGAGCAAATAGCCTTGATAGCTGCTTGGCTATCGGAATAAATAGTCACCCCTTTTAAGGGCCAGGGAGCGACCAATGCGAAACTTCTTTAATTACGGACACCTCTTCTTCGTAAAATACACTTCCACCTACCTTTCCATTCAGCTTCGATCCATTTGTAAATAAATTTCACGACCACGGTTCCAGATACTGAATATCTCCCAGTCCTCTCTCGCTGGAATTCGGGTGGTGAACGATCCATCTGCCCGAGTGGTCTGGCCGAGTCGGTAAGAACTCGATACCTTTTAGAATACTGAAGTGACCATAGCTCGGGGCGAACTAAACGCCCACACCACTTAGCCTTACTGCGGCGCACGCAGCGACAGCTCTAACAGTTATATCTATAGGCACAACATTTAACATGGCACTGAGCGCCAGAGTAGGAGTGGTTCGAAGTGCCCCACTGATTCCAATACACGCCTTTCCCGGGAATATATGCAACTTAGGCTACCCTAATCAAAACTAAACGAATTTTGGTGGACCGATTCCTAAAGAAGCTAAACTCCGCTCTGTTTGAAAGATGAAAATACAAAATTCTTCCGTACTCACAAAGGCGGCTGAAGATCCTTCGCTCGCCAGTTCCTCGTTTATTATTCTTCCTCGAAAGGTTTCCTGCTTGTAGATCTCCATGTTCCCTAATATGTTCAAACGCTATTTTTATGTCTTAAATTGAGGAGTTTGATTCCCTTTCTACTTTTCGTCGGTATACATTTATTTTCAAACATGGCGCTAGCCAAATTTGATTTCGGTGTATAACTTGTTTTCCACACCCCGTTGTTGTAGTCCCATATACTTATTTTAATCTGTTGATAATAAGATTTATTTTAATAGTCCGATCGAAATAGTTTAGTTTTTCTCCCTTTCCTTATCCATAAAGAATTACGGTATGCATGTATATCTTCGTGTTATTTATTGAGATAGCACAATATATACTCCTCTTTGTCTCCTCTTATTAGACATACAATACATATATGTAATACTCCTATATTGGCAGTAAGAGCTAGTACCGTCCGAAAACACTACAGTACAGATATATCAATAAACACGTACGAAAGAAAAGGAACACATACGTTTATAAATAAACATGTATACGACACATTTACAAAACCGGCACTCAAGTACACAATACATTCACAAAACAGTACTAGACTGTCTCGCTTTGATTTCGGAATGCTTACACATTGAGATGTTAGCTTACTATCAATATAGAAGTATTACATATATGATACAATATCATCAACACATCTATGGGCGAACATTACTCCTAAATTGGTTGTGAGATGCTCCATAATTTGTAAATATTCCCTTTAATTATCTCCCAAGAATCGTTCTGGCATCGAGCTACATTGCTGAGCCTTCTGTATGAAATAAAGGGTACACTGCCCTTTGTAAATTTACTTAGTTCTATTTTCAAGGCAAAGCATCCATTTGCCTAGACTTCTTATTCTGGGATCACAAGTTGACTGTCAAAGCCAATTCCTTTTAGCTTTATGTCTGGTCCATCTAATTATTCGGTTATTATTTTCTAATAGCTAACTTGTTTTGAAGAGAGAAGTCACTCGGAGCAGCGGTTGACTGGGAGCAAAGTCAATTGTAGTACGAGTTCGTTGAAACACGGTAAGACAGTTTTTGTATTATTGTCGCCGACAGAACACATGCAAACGTTGCTATCCTTTTTTAATTATTTTTTCAATCTGGATATATTAATATCTGCTTTTGGCTGAGGGTGTGAACTCTCGTCTTTTTCATTATGCAAAAGCTTATAAGTGGCACTGTCATCGATTGCTTGTGGCATGCCACACAATCAAAGAAACATCGGCTGATGCCATTCATTAGCGCAATTTGTAGTGGGCGTCCCTTTATATGCCTAGTAATGCTTTTATTTAATCCATACAAAACACACTCCACCTTCATACATACATACTGCGGTGCTAAAAGAAATATGAAGAAGTAAAGTGGCCTCAGAAATTGACGGCATAAATGAGCGCATTGCTGCGATAAATACAGGAAATCACATTATAAGGCTAGAAACCAAAAATAGTTGCCGCATGAACACGCGATATGTGCAGTCGAGTGACATAATTTTTCTTCCTTTGCAGAGAAACGTGAAAGAAAGAATAATGAAAAAGAAACCTCATGCACATAGGAAATTGGTATGCATTATTTTCTCATAAATAACACCGTGCGACAAAAACGAAAAAATTTAGAAACTCACGAAACTACCGATATACTCATGAAACTATGGGCCAAATATAGTAAAACTGGGTTTTTAGTTTGTTCACTCTGGCATCAGATTTTTTTTTTTAAGGAATTGGTCTTTGAAATTTTAACGATATGATTCATTAAAAAAATTATTTAAAAAAATCAGTGAAATGTAGAATAAAAATATGCATTTTTAATTAATTTTATCTTTATATTTAAATTTTTAAGTTAATAAAATTTGCAAAACGAAATTCGATGATGAGGGCGTGCGTATGATTAAAAAATAAAATTTTGGACCTGTTCAGGGATATTTAGGAATAAAATTTGTAAAGGACAGTTTCCATACCCATTCATCCTTATTCACCAAAACATTTATTCTGATATACGTTTAATGAATTTTTGGTTTTATATGATATCCTTTTGTTATCCTACATTGCACTGAATTTTTAAATAATTTTTTGAAATAAGTAATCGTATTTTTTGAATTTCAAAGTCCTTTTGAAAAAATCCCCAAGTCAGAGAGAAAAATTGAGTACGCAGTTTTACTATAATTTACCCATTGTTTCGCGAATATATTCATTTTTGTGTGTGTACAGTTTACTGTCGCACGGTGTAGGCACTCGAAGTGTTGAGAGCGTAGGCTTAAAGTTGAATTATGTACTTACGTATAGTAAAAAATGCATATTTATCCACATAAATACATACACACATATATGTATACATAACTAAATATTAAAAAAAAAAACGACTACACACATCCATACCTACATATGTAAATCTGTCTTACATCCCTCAAGGAAAATATAGAAAGTTTCAATTTGGAGGTAATGTAGAAACATTCCTCTACGTTGCTTATGCAAACAAACCAGAAATTTAGAATCGACGTTACTTTTACTCCACTTCCAAAGGAAAGTTTAAGAAATGGTATAAATTGATTGAACGGTTACCGAGATAAACATATGTGGTTATAAGTGCGCGGTGCCGCGCCCATTTTCCAAAATTTTATCATAAATTTATTTTGTGCTAAATAATTATTACAAACATCTATTTTGAATAAATTAGCTTCGGTATTTACTGATTTATCGAAG